AGTACATAATTCAGGTCTTTAATAGGTGGTGAATACAAGAAGGCCAATATGGCCTGTGTTGTAAGTATATAATTAAGCTGTAAGGCAACCATTAATGATGATTTCCAAACACAAAGGAAGAACATCCATGGCTCCCATTACAACTAAAACAACAAGTCTTATAATCAAAATTCTTTCGGAAGATGAAACTCACACTGCACAGTGATAGAGATGAATCAAAACATCTTTTTATACCCTTCAACAGCCCCTCATGCACAGCTCCCACAACTCCCAACTCCAACTCTTCATAAATTACATGATAGTTTTGACCCTCATAGTTTGCAAGTACATGACGTAAAAGCACCAGCTCCCAGAGTGTTTCTCCTCAGCAAGCACCACCAACACCCCACAGACTTCTCACAGAAGCATGGATGAATGCAAAGACATTTCCTACTGACACCACTCTATAAATAACAGAAACAACTAAAGGTTGAGAAGCGTGCAAATGATGAGCAGCAAAGTCACTCAGGGAGCTGTCACAGCCTAGAGAACCTCATCCAAATCAAGTCCATGTGCCTTTGGGAAGACTCCAGAGCCTGCAAAGAACCCAAAAGACAATTTCCTGATAAGGCAACACATCTGAATAGAAGAGGTAATACTGAAAGGAACACGGGTGTTATAAATCTTAGGGCACAGAAAGAATTAGGTGCATGATGAAACCACAAAGCCTCGCTCGAACTTCCAGCCACCATCAGCCTCACTACACCTGCTCCCCAACAACCAGGAAGACTGAGCAAGGGCCAAAGGTGCAACTCCCACCATCGCACAGAGTGTCAATGCACGAACCTCTGCCAGCGCTGTCAGTAAACTTCCCTACACGGTCTCTTCGCAGAGACAAACTGGCCAGAGCAACTCACCGGGAGAGGAGCGACGGGGTCGGTGGGACGGTCGCCGGAAGGTTCCTCTTCGCCGAGCAGCGGGGCGGGCTCGTCGGGCGGCGGGCGGGCCGGGAGGGTGTCGCAGCAGCTGGCGGCCGAGAAGCGCAGGTGGCTCTTGCGCGAGTCGGCCGTGAGAGACACGTCGTGCGAGTAGGAGTGCAGGAAGGCGCGGACGCCGTCGATGCCCACGAAGTGCGTGGCAGGCACGCCGCGCAAG